GGCTACTTAGGACATGGTGGCTGTCTTCTGCCAAAGCAAGTGAATGAGAGAAAAAGAGAGAGAGAAACAAAGTATCTTATGGAAGCCACAGTACTTTTTATGACCTAGACTCCAAAGTCACACACCATCACTTCTGCTTTATTCTGTCCATTAGAACCGAGTCACTAAATCCAGCCCACACTAAAAGGGAAGGAAACTAGGTTCCAGTCTCGAAGAGAGGCGTGTCAAAGAATTTGTGAACATATTTTTAAAGCCACCACAATGACGATGGAAATTAAAACTGTAAGCAGGCATAACTTCTAAACCAAAAGGCAGGAAATTTGCTACATACTCTCCTTGTTGCAGAGAGACAGCCTGTTTTTAGAATGAACACATAGACCTTACTGACACTTGCTTAACAATAACGGATAATAGTCATGACCTATTAATCTTGACTGCATTCCTGGAAAGGAAAATTGCTGCAGACCCCATGTGGGAATATTTTTCAAGGACCTTTCATAACAGATTGTTGTAGGACTTGAGATAATGAATGTAGCGCCGATCCCTAAAATATGTTCACTAAATGGTAGCTATTTTTATCCCTTCACCAAGTCTCACTGGCTCCACCGCCGAAATCTGTGGCATCTCCTCATCTTATCTCTATCCCCACTTTTCCTTGACTCCATCTAAACTACCACAAGGAATCCCTGTTTCCCTCCTTGTTTTTGACCTCTTCCGTGTCTTCGTTTTTAGCAAGAGGTGTTTTTCTTTAAATCTTAGTGATAACTTGTATTTTATAGCAGTTCTATTCATTTGCTGAACCAATCTACTGAGTTCCTGAGACTCCTAAACAGAGAAACTCTGAACCAATTTGACTGAAAGTCGTAGGGTAGGGGTGATTAAGGAGAAAAACGAGGAGGAGAGAGGGATAAAAAACATTTTCCAGGCAGTGGAAAAATTGTCCTGGCATGGTTTCCTGCAGAATGTAGAGAGGGAAATTGATGTTATAAATGAGCTTTCCTCTCAAACAGCTGCCCTCTTCTGGTCTGACGAAACATTGAGTCACTCCATCTTTGGCAATATGTTCATGGGTCACTGAGTTTATAGTTTGTATTCTAGTTCTGAGGCTAGCAATGACATCTGCTTGAGTGTTCTGGCAATTAAACTAATGCCTTACACAAAATTTTCTTCCAGGCAAGATTTTTTAAGGTCTAGTTGGAATTCCTGGGTGATCTATTGTGTTCATATCAGGTTAATATAGCTTTTTAATGTGCATGCACTTAGATTACCGAATGTATAAATGTTGAATGCCAAGATTAGTTGCTGGTGTATTTTTCTGTGTGAGGCTCAGGCAGAGAATGTTTCTTTAGTCAGTGATATGAAACGACAGTGGGCCTTCAAGGAAGTATTACTCCTTTAATTCCAATTTATTTTCCCTGGCCAGTTTATCGACAGTTTCCAAGCAATTAATGATTAAGAGCTGCCAACCCAGACTCTCCCAGATCCATTAAGTCATTCACAGATCTTCGTCCCTGAGTCATACCATGATTTCTGTTGTGCTGTGTTTCAATTTTTATCATTGTTTGAATTTATTGTCATCCACTTTAAAAATGCACAGCATCAACAACTCCATTCCAAACAGAGGCAGTTGTCCCTGTTAAGAACAGTATCTGGAGCAAGCATGTATAAATATCAAATCATTACTATGCCAGCCATTTTCTAGCTGTGATATCTTGGGCAATTTAACTTATTTCTCCCTTGATTTCCTAATCTTTAAAAAAATGGGGATAAGAGTCACTGTAACTTTGCTTTGAAAATAATTAACATATATAAAACACTTAGAACAGTTCCTGGCACATACTGAACACAATGTAAGTGTTGGCTATTATCATTATGATCTAAAGAATATGGGTCATGATCACTATAGACTCGTGAACCCATCAGGGGAATTTTTATTAAGTGGAAACTTATAAATGAACATTGGGTATATTCAAATAAATTTTGGCAACCTATACTGTGGAAACAGGATTAACCCAGAGAGAAACTTTAAATCTTTTTGTCACAAAGAAGGCCCTGCCCCTATTTTATTTCATTTATTTATTTTGAGACAGCATCTCACTCTGTCACCCAGGCTGAATTACAGTGACATGATCACAGCTTGCGGCTGCCACCTCTTGGGCTCAAGTAATCCCCTTGTCTCTGCTTCCCCAGTAGCTGGGACTATATGTGTGTGCCACCACACCTAGCTCATTTTTCTGTTGTTGTTTTTTGAGATGGAGTTTCGTACTTGTCACCCTGGCTGGAGTGCAGTGGTGCGGTCTTGGCTCACTGCAACCTCTACCTCCTGGGTTCAAGCCATTCTCTGGTATATTTATCCCAGGAGTTTGAGACCAGCCTGGGAAACTTATATTAATTTGAATATGCCCAGTAAAAAATGTTCATTTATAAGTTTCCACTTAATAAAAATTCCCCTGATGGGTTTAAGCAATTCTCCTGCCTCAGCCTCCTGAGTAGCTGGGATTACAGGTGTCCACCACCATGCTCAGCTAATTTTTGTAAATTTAGTAGAGACGAGGTTTCACCATGGTGGCCAGGCTGGTCTTGAATTTCTGACCTCAGGTGATCCACCCGCCTTGGCCTCCCAAAGTGCTGGGATTACAGGCATGAGCCACCGCACCCAGCCAACCTGGCTCATTTTTAAATTTTTTATAGAGATGGAGGTGTCACTATGCTGCCCAGGCTGGTCTCAAACTTCCAGGATCAAGCAATCCTCCCACCTCCGCCTCCCAAAGCCCTGGGATTATAGGAATGAGCCACCACACCCAGCTTTACCCTGATTTTTAATTACATAATAGAGAAATAAGATCATCTGCTTTGACGTACAGTGGGTTCATGGAAAACCAGAAAGTAGCTCAGCATAATTTGGGGCATGAATGTGAAACAGAATAACCTATCTTCAGGCATTGATTCTTCTCCAAAGATGTAATTCAATTGCCCCTACTTTGAATGAACAGACTCCACTGGGCAGAATTTGTCTCAAGCCACCTCACAGCTGGTTGGTTTCTCTTGTCTACTCCATGCACTGTTGCTTTCCACTTGTGTACCACTGTCTGGTCCAGTGATATGTGACTACTGGTTCCAATGGGATTTCCTTCTCCTCAAATACCTACTCAGCATGACCCTTGCAGTTGGTGTGAGAAAAGACTGGTTGGGACAATTTTCCTTAAAATCTGACTTGTTTTGTGATAGGCCTGAAGGATTATCAACTTCTCTTTGACCTAGTCAGTACATTCTACCCCTTATATTCCAGAAACATAGTATATAGCACCAAAGATACCCAGCACAAGCAAATCCAGCTTTTCTGCCTATTAACAAGTACACTGACTTCTTCTCCAAAGCTATGCCCATGTGGAAGCCATACATAGATACCACACTGCAGGCTTTATCAGTAGTCAAGGTTAGGGTTCAGCAAGTTACATGGTTAACAAACAGCCCCGGTGATTCCTATGCAACTAGGCTTTGGGGAACAACTCCTTAAAAATTACAAAACAAAACCAAATTTTTAAATTTGTAAAACCTATACTAATGACCATCTTCAAGAAAGGATACAATGAAAAGGAATGATCCTTCAGTCTTCAAATATTTTATTGATTACCTAGCAAAAAAATGTTAGCTTTTGCTCTCTTCATAGTCACAAGTTCATCTCTTGACTTTCCTACCCATTTACGGCTGTTGCATTCAGCCAATGTTTCTGTCATATAGTAGGATCACTCTAAATTTTACCTACTATTACACTTCTATTTTGCCAATGCAGATGAAGAAGCTGAAGCCCAATGTCACATCAACAGTAAAGGATGGGGTGGACCCTTTTATTAAGGTTACCTTGATTGAACAAGGCACAAGAATATCTGTCTATCTCTCCGTCTGTCTTACTTCCCTTTGGTGCCCCTATATGTCATGAGAATGCTATTTAGAGGTCACATCCTAGGTCCAAATCAGGTAGAACCCAAGAGAAATTCAGATTTGGCATTCTTTGGTGGCAAAAATTCTAGGAATATACTGAAGATACTCCCCCAAAAAAGGAGACTATGCTTTCTTGTGGAATATCTCATTTAACTTCAGTAAGATGAGAAGTGCCATTTGCCTGCATGCACCAAGGACCTCTGTGAAGGTCATAGATTCCTCACAGTTGAGGTTCAGTGCTAAAAACTACTGACTTTATACAGATCACTATATGCATCAATACACTTTGAAGAATGGCTGTTAGTAATGCAAACTTTGAAATAACTTCATCAGATAACTGTGAGTCATGTAGGCCTTCATATCTGGTTTTAATATTCTGAAGCACAGACAAGCCAATGGCACTTGGGCAAAGGGTGTTTTATTTACTTTAAATCAAGGCTAATAATTCAGACAAATTTAAATTGAATCAAAAGGTTTCATGAACCACGGTCAAGGCTTTGTGGAGAAATTCTACATGTCTCTCTGTAAATGAACCAATTACTTTGTAAATATCACATATAACTTAAGCCCTCAGAGTACAAACAGGAAAAGAGACAGCCAGAGAGAAGGCACATATGAATTTTGTGGATAAGATTCAGGTTCAATCTACTTACTAAATTCCACTATAAAGAGGAATGGACTTCTTTTTCAGATGCTAACACTGTACTGAACTTCTAGAATAACTGGAATAGAACATAAACTACCTTCTCTAAGATGAAGGCCTTGTCTACTTCAAAGGCAAGGCCCATAAAGATATACCCTAAGGTGAAGCCATTTCTGCAGTCAAGTGAAATGATGGGATGTTGGGCTGGGCTTGAGTCCATCCCACAAAGGCTTTGTTGCTTTGGGGGAGTTCACCGCAGGGACCACTTCTGGGGAATCCTTTATTTACGTGAAAACCAAAAAGCACCTTTCTCTAAAAATTATCAGCCCCTCATGCCTTTTACTTGAAAACAGCTTTGAGGGTAGGACGGGTTAGTCTTTTTCCTCACCTTATGCCCGGAGCCCTGCACAGTCCCAAGCATGTAATTCTAGAAGCAGTTTCTGATTGATTGTGGTCCCCCAACCCAAGAAACTAAACCTTAATCAGCTCCCACTACTTTGTCCTTCCCTTTTCCAATTGCTTATGACCTCTGACACTCAGAACCACTGATGTGAAACCACACACCTGGGTGCTCTCTCGGTGGTGACTTTCTATTCGAAGGATCAAATACTTAATCAAATGGACCACTCAAGACCGGCGACCTACTGGGAGGCCTGGCTGACCGGTGCGGCTGGCTGGCAATATCATGTGAGTGGGTTCACCTGGGAAGGTTCCAAGTACTGAGGTCGACGGTGCTGTCTTCACTCGTCAGAGGAGGAAGGGATGGGCTCCTTCTTGCAGGTGCCATGCTTGGCTCGGTGACGTTGGAGGTGATTGGACCGGGTGAAGGCCTGGCCGCAGTCCTCACAGTGGTAGGGCCTCTCTCCGTTGTGCATCCGTGTGTGCTGGGCCAACTCAGAGGCAATGCGGAAGGCCCTGCCGCACTCGGCACAGAGGAATCCCTTCTCCCCGGAGTGGATCTGTTGGTGCCGCTTCAGGGTGGAGGAGCGGGCAAAGGCCTGGCCACATTGCGTGCAAGCAAAGGGCCTCTCGCCGGTGTGGATGCGCTGGTGGCGCACGAGGCGCGAGGGCTGCGCGAAGGCCACGCCGCAGTCAGCGCACTTGAAGGGCCTCTGGCCCGTGTGCAGCGTCTGGTGCTCGGCCAGGTTGGAGGACTTGGTGAAGCACTTGCCGCAGGTGGGGCAGGGGAAGGGCCGCTCGCCCGAGTGCACGCGCTGGTGCTCCACCATGCGGCTGGCCACAGCGAACTCGCGGTCGCAGGCGGCGCAGCGGAAGGGCTTGGCGCCCAGGTGCGTGCGCTGGTGGCGCAGCAGCGACAGCGGCTTGTTGAAGGTCAGGCCGCACTCGGAGCACGGGAAGGGCTTGTCGTTGCTGTGCATGTTGCGCTGGTGTTTGCGCAGGTCCGAGGAGCGCACGAAGGCCTTCCCGCAGTCTGGGCACGGGTAGGGTTTCTCGCCCGTGTGGGTGCGGATGTGCTTCCGGTGGTCGGAGGACCAGGTGTAGGCCTTGTCGCAGAAGGAACACCGGTAGGGCCGCTCGCCGGTGTGCAGGCGCCGGTGCTGCTGGAGCGTGCCGCGGTGGGAGTAGGCCTTCCCGCACAGCTCGCACGCGTAGCGCTTGGCGTCACCGCGCGTCTCCGCGGGGCTCAGCGGCTTGCTGGGCTCCTGGAAGGCCCTCCCGCCCCGCAGGCGCCTGTAGGGACGCGCCTCGCCCTCTCCGCCCCCGCGCCCGCCCACCTGGTTCTGTACTTTCCTGCTGATTCGCCCTTTTGCTAGCACCGCGGCTGCCAAGCTGGCTGGGGTGGCCGACGCCTGGGCTGGTGTGGGTGTCTCTCGCTTGGGGAGGTCCCAGTTGCTCCCCGGCCTGGGGAAACACAACAGAGAAGAGTTCTCTGCGGACGTGTCTACACTTTTGTGTGCACAGAGATACTTTCCATTGCTGGGGAAGCAGGATGGGACATCCAAGGCTGCGTCCTGGTTTGCCCCCAAGTCTCCATCATCACCCGCAGATAATCGGTCCCTAAGAGGTTGCAGCTGACCTAACAGCTTGCGTGTGAGACCACGGGGAAGGGTACCCAGAGCTGTGCTTGCTCCCGGGGAGCCCTGGGTCTCACTGATCTTTGGCACATCTCTGCTCCAGCTGGCTCTCCCGGATATCTGCATTGGTCTCTGCCCCATGCCCCTTGCACTGAAAGAGTCAGAGAATTTCTCCTCTTCTTTGCCTAGCGGACGGGGCCATGGCAAGTCAGGATTGTCACATATTACTGGGGAGCTGCCCCTTAGGCCACTATGTCAACAGTACCCTCTTTTTCTGACTCCCCACCACCTTCATCCTCACTCTCTAAGTTCATGCTCAGCATCTGGGGGTCATGAGCCTCCTCAGTCAAGCTACTGAGAGGAGACGCCTCTTCCCACCTGTCCTGGGAGTCCACTTGTGCCATGATGTTCAGGCGCTTCTATTGCCTGCTCCTCTGAGGAAGAACCTTTGCTCAGCTTGGGATACCTGCAAGAAGGGAAGTGTGAAGAGAAAATCACAAAGAATGTTCTTAATCGCTTTCATGCCCAGAGGGACTGAGGTTCTCACTACCGCTCTGTCTCTGATTGGCCTCCATGCGAGGCATATTTTTGAGCCTCACTGAGGACAGAGACCTAGCTCTGCTGAAAATCCCAATCATCCTTATTCCCTCTGGAGAGCCCACTTGCTAGAAGAAGCCCCAGGAGACCATGCTGTCAGGAATAGCCAGAGTGGGACATTATTGGGTGCCAGCTGTGCCCTGTCACTCCTGGAAGGCAGAACAGAGTATTTGGCCTATATGCCCTCCTCTCTATTCTAGTATCCACCTTTTGTAGGACTGTGAGTTGAGCAAAGCTGTTTTTGCAGAACTGGGAGGGGCTGGGATTCCCAGAATTCTTTGCAGCAGCCCAGTCATTGGCTCAAAGATACCCACAGCCTTTTAACTGGGAGTAGGGATGCAGGGAGACAGTTTTCTGCCTTATGCCTACAGATGCCGGTGCTCAACCCTCAACTGCTAACCAAATGTGTCCTTTGTGAGCATGGGGGACAACTCGATGACATGGTAGGAAGCAAGCTCTGGTCCTCCTAAGGCACTTACAGTGTCTGCAACTCAGGAAGCTGGAAACCAGGCTGGCTCTTGCTGTCCCTGCCAGGGGTGCAAGTCAGCCATCCCATGATGGTGTCAACTAGGGATCCCTCTCAGGCCCTGGGCCACCTCTTCCAAAGGCAAGGAGAATGAGGGTGAGTCAGGAAGGCACCAGGCATGTTCCCAAGAAGACACCAGCTGCCCCTCACAGCTTCAGCAGGCTTTCTCAGGCCCTTGAAACTTCTGAGGCACTTCTAACTGCCAGGGAGGCTACCCATAAGCACCCAGGGGGCAGAGGATGCCCACTGAAAGCTTGACTAGTCTTTGAAATTTTGCTTCATCATAAACATTCAGGAGAGTTTACATTCTATGTTGTGTTTGTTTTACAGAAAATAGTGTTTTTCAAGTTACCTTGGGTGTAAATGTTTAATCTTCCCCCAAGTGTGCCATATTGATCCCATGGCATGCCACACATGCCCACTGGAGTACATATCTCCCGACTCAAGAAGCATGGATGTAGGATTTCAACTATAAGGCATGAGACATGGGAGCCATGTGGGTTTTATTTTCAAACTTATTTTATTTTAGCTTGAAGACACAGAGAAAGCCTGCTGGAGGACTGGTTAACAAGGATTGGGTGAGTGACATATTTTAAAGGAGTTAGTAGACTGAGAGGCAGGATACTGAGGGTCTCTCCGGGGACTTTAGTCTGGAGAGAAATATCTGAGAGTCCCAGAGGGGGTATTATAACTCTCATTTTTCTGGACACACGTTATGAGCCAGGTACTATGTTGAGTGGTTCACAAACATGATTTCATTTATTCCTCACAGCAAACCTTAAGATAGATGCTATTATTATATTATTCTTTCAATTTTACAGACCAGGAAACTGAGCTTTTTTGAAGTTACTTACCTGCCCAAGGCCATGCAGCTCATAGACAGCAGCAGTGGGGTTTCTCTCTAATTTCAAGGCCATTATGTTAAGCCCCAAATTGTCCTGGCTTTCAGCTGTGGCCTCCAGACCGAGGCCTGCTCTCGGGCTGGGCTCTGCCCAAGAGCAGCTACAGCATCCTGGGGTGAAGAGCCATGGCTTTCTACAGGTATCAAAGCCCCTTGTGTTTTCCAGGCCAAGGAACCTTGGCTGCAGGGCCTCACTGCTGGGCTCCTCCCTGCTCTCATTGACCCAGATTGCCCTCCACCAAAGAGAGAGGCCAGTGGCTGCCCATCAGAGCTGGGACCCGTGTTACAGAGGCTACTGCCTGGGGTGCTCATGAGTATTAGTCACTGTTTACCTTCTGAAAGCTCCTTCTCTCTACCTCTGCCCACCTTTCACTGCCATCTCAGAAGGGATAAAAGGAATGATCTTTGTACTTGGCTGTTCCAGTTACCCTGTCCCTATCTCATCCAACTGTTCTTCCCCAGTGTCTGCCTGATCACAAGCCCAGTTACCCTGTGTGTATGGAGGGGAAGCAGTAGGAAGGAATCCTTACTTTCTACTCTGGATACAGAAGCCGTGGATGGAGGGAGGACACATTGCAGTTGTGACTGGAGTTCAGCATCTCATGTCCCTTTGTGCCCCAAGCCCAGGGACTACTCCTCTTCCCTCACTGCTTCCCTCACCCATCACATGGCAGAAGGTAGCTGGCATGCCTTTTGACAGGAGCCCAGGTCGGACGTGTGCTCAGCACAGTGGATCTTAGGGAGTGAATGTGTAGTTCACAGAGGGGACATACCACTAACCAACTTCATAGAACTTAGCAGACCAGCAGGCTTGATCCAGGGATGTGCGTCCTCCATCAGGGACAGCAAAGGGATGCTGGATTTGTATGAAATGCATGTCTTAGGTCTCCTTCTTTCTCTATGATGGCATACTGCCTGTTTCTGTGGCACTGTTCACAGATCACTGACTTTACCCACTCCCCACCCCACCTCCAGTACAAATACCCTATTTTCCACAGCCTGTGTTTCATTGTCTTCCTCTGGGCCACAGGGGAGCCTCCTTAGGGTGGCACACAGCCTTCCACTAGCTAACCAATCCCTTCTCCAGAGCCTGCCAGGAGACTTTCTTTTCAGATGAGGAATCCCTCCTCCATCTGAAGCCATGTCCCCAGCAAATGTGTCCTGCTTTCTTTCTCCTGTTGATGCCTCAGGCGTGCTCTTGGCCACCAGGAAGACCAGAAGGCAGGCAGAGGCACAGGGAGGGATTTTCTGGCAAAGTCTGCATAACTATACCTGGCCTGGAAGAGGAACACTGGTGCCATGGTATAGCTGGCCTCTCTGCTCTCTAGATGTGCTTGCCCCTGGAGGCTGTCAGAGCATAGTCCTTTGCTGGAACTTTCTCTGCACTTGCCAGGCAGGAATGGACCAAATGCAGCCTCCAACTCCCCGACCTCATACATCCATCAACACTCTGCAGAAGCCTACCCTGAGGGCTTGCTGCAACCCCGACCCAAACCCCTCTTCTTTCCTTCCACTTTGGACTACAGTCCATCCCAAGCAGCCACCTCCTGCTTTCTCCTCTGCTCACAGCTCTCAGGCCTTGCTCTCCATTCCTGGCTCACACACAGACAGTTGCTTACCTGGGAAATGCAGACAGCAGTGTGGGCCCCCCTGCCCTGGCTTCTGTGACACGTGGGCTCTCAGCAACAGGAACCAGAGTTGAGTACAAATCAGCAGAGATGGTGTCTCTGTCTCTCACGCTTTGTGTCCAGTCCAGCAGCTGCAGAGAGAGCCTCTGGAGGTGGGGCCAGTGTAATACACTCAACCTTCCTGCCTGCATCCAGAAAGCAGCTTGGGAAATAGAGTGGGGCTGCCCTCTCTCACTGCCTGAACCGATCCTCCAGCTCCCTCTGCTCCTGCCTCCCCTCCCTGCCAAAGCCAGTCTCCCTCCTTCCCTCCTCTAAGTCTTCCTGCAGATGGCCCTATGCCTCCCTGTTCACTTTCACTCCTTCCTTCCACAGAGCAGTCCATCCTTCACTTTACCCCTGGTATGCCCACGGGCCACATGTCACTTGTGAGCTTCCTGGACAGTATGGTTTTTCCTTCCTGGAAGGCAGAACAGAATATTTGGCCTGTATGCCCACCTCCCTATTTTGGTACCCATCTTTTGCAGGACGGTGAGTTGAGCAAAGCTCAGTTTTTGCAGAACTGTGAGGGGTTGGGATTCCCAGAATCCTTTGCAGCAGCCAGTCATTGGCTCAAAGATGCCCACAGCCTTTTAACTGGGAGTAGGGGTGCAGGGAGACAGTTTTCTACCTTACGCCTACAGATGCCAGGCCTGTCTGTGGTCTCTTTCCACTTTCAGCATTGGTTCCCATGCAGGTTCATTTTGAAGAGGATTGGCTCGGGGTAGAAGACTCAGTATGTTCAGAATTTTTACCCACTCAAGTCTAATGTGCATTTATAAGGAAGAACATTCAGGACATTAAAATGAGATGGAAGTGTGGTTCCTGTGATGTCACTAGGTGGTCACAAACTATACTGCTTGACAGCAGGATCTGGGTCTGGGATTGAATCTTACTACTCACTAGCTGTGTGATCTTGGGCAAGTTATTTAACCTCTATGTGCCTTAGTGTCTCATCCGCAAAACAGGGACCAGGATATTATTGCCATCGTGGAAGTCTGGGGAGGATTAACTGAGATAATGCATGTAAGGAACTTAGCTTAGTGTTTGGAACATAGCAAATACCCAGAAAAGTTAGCTACTGTTACTGTTGATGATGTTAGCTATTGTTACTGTTGATGAGGTTTTTTACATTTTAAGTTCTCGGGTACATGTGCAAGATGTGCAAGTTTGTTACACAGGTAAACGTGGGACACGGTGCTTTGCTGCACCTATCAACCCTTCCTTCACCTAGGTATTAAGCCCGCATACATTAGCTATTTTTCCTGATTCTCTCTCCGCCCCATACTACCCTGACTGGCCCCAGTATGTGTTATTCCCCTCTCTGTGTCCATGTGTTCTCATTGTTCAGCTCCCACTTACAAGTGAGAAGACACAGTGTTTGGTTTTCTGTTCCTGTGCCAGTTTGCTGAGGCTAATGGCCTCCAGCTCCATCCCAGTCCCTGCAAAGGATATAATCTTGTTCCCTTTTATGGCTGCATGGTATTCCATGGTGTATATGTACCACATTTTCTTTATCCAGTCTATCATTGATGGGCATTTGGATTGATTCCAAGTCTACTATTGTGAATAGTGCTGCATTGAACATATGCATACATGTATCTTTATAACAGAATGATTTATATTCCTTTGGGTATATACCCAGTAATTGGATTCCTGGATCAAATGGTATTTCTGTTTCTAAATCTTTGAGGAATCACTACATTGAGAAATCACTTCCACAATGGTTGAACTGATTTACATTCCCACCAACAGGGTAAAAACATTCCTATTTCTTCACAACCTTGCCAGCATCTCTTGTTTCTTGACTTTTTGATCGTCGCCATTCTGACTGGCATGAGTGGCATCTCATTGTGGTTTTGATTTGCATTTCTCTAATGATCAGTAATGTTGAACATTTTTCATATGTTTGTTGGCTGCATGTATGTCCTCTTTTGAGAAGTGTCTGTTCATGTTCTTTGCCCACTTTTTAATGAGATTGTTTGTGGGTATTTTGTAAATTTGCTTAAGTTCCTTGTAGATTCTGGATATTAAACCTTTGTCAGATGGATAGATTGAAAAACATGTCTCCCATTCTATAGGTTGTCTGTTTACTCTGATAATAGTTTCTTTTGCTGTGCAGAAGCTCTTTAATTTGATCCCATTTGTCAATTTTTGCTTTTGTTGAAATTGCTTTTGGTGATTTCACCATAAAATCTTTGCCTGTGCCTATGTCCTGAATGGTATTGCCTAGATTTTCTTCTAGGGTTTTTATAGTTTTGGGTCTTACATTTAAGTCTTTAATCCATCTAGCATTAATTTTTGTGAAAGGTATAAGAAAGGGGTCCAGTTTCAATTTTCTGCATATGGCTAGCCAGTTCTCCTAGCACCGTTTATTAAATAGGGAATCCTTTCTTCATTGTTTTTGTCAGGTTTTTGGAAGATCAGATGGTTGTAGATGTGTGGTTTTATTTCTAAGTTCTCTATTCCGTTCCATTGGTCTATGTACCTGTTTTTGCACCAGCACCATGCTGTTTTGGTTACTGTAGCCTTACAGTATAGTTTGAAGTTCGGTAGTGTGATGCCTCCAGCTTTATTATTTTTGCTTAGGATTTTCTTGGATATACAAGCTCTTTTTTGGTTCTATATGAATTTTAAAATAGTTTCTAATTCTGTAAAGGATGTCAATGGTAGTTTAATGGGAATAGCATTGAATCTATAAATTGCTTTGGGCTGTATGGCCATTTTCACAATATTGATTCTTCCAATTTATTATTGATGATTTTGTTGTTTTTAGAGAAGACATGGTTCCAGGGCTTCTTTTATATCCCTGTGGCCCTGTTCAAGCTGCATCTCTTCTGAACAGCAGTTTTCAGAGTGGGATCCAGAGAAGCAGGTTTCTCTATCCCCTTGGTATTTTTAAGGCATGGTTTCAGAGGAAAGAGGCAGGCGGCAAAGACATACCTCTAGTTCTTTGAGTTTGTATATCTGGAATAGGGTTCAAATCCTGATGTCCATAGAACCTCTGAAATAAAGTGCAGAACTTGGACATGTACTGTTCTCAAGAGGATCCTTAGCAGCCATCCATTTCCTGAGGGGGCCATATCCAAAAAATGTTGAGAACCATTGGCATTGGGGGAGGGCATGGGATGGGGAGAGATGGTGAACACTTAAAATAGCTCCCATAGCCAAGTTATCAGTTAGTGCCGCCACCACCCCACATCCCAACATGGTTGATCAAAATACCCCAAGTGTCCATATAGAACAGGCGCCGAGCTTCAGATAGCTTTGGCAAGAAAGAACCTAACTCCTCACTGACTGGTGAAGGAGGCTGTGGAGGCAAAAGCTGAAGCTGGGATGAATGTGTGTGTGTGTGTGCACGCCTGTGTATGTGCGTGTGTGTCCCACCCATTCCCAGCCTCACAGCAATGGTACATTTCTCGAGCAGTTACTAGTGCCAACACTATGCTAGCATGACACATGCAATGCCCCAATTAATCTTCATCACATCCTGCTGAAGCAGCTACCAGTGTGATCCCCATTTACAGATGAAGGATACAGAGCCATAGGCATCTTAAGGACCACAGCCACACAGTTCCTACATAGTGGAGTTGCAATTTGAACCAAGGTATCAGAGTCTGCGCTCTTAACCACTACCACACTAGATTCCCAAATGCTGTCCCTCACAGCCTGCATGCTTGGCCTTTGCTCGACTCCACCCTTATTTCCTTCTGGAAACCTTTAGTCCCTCCTCCCCAAGACTATGTGACCTGTGTATCTGTGATCACGATAGTCATTCTCCCAGAAGGCATTCTTCTCCCTCAGCCTTGCTGCCCAGAGAGATGGTTCCCACGAAATGCCTGCACAGCCTTATCACCTCTTCCTTATCCAGCCCGGACAGCCTGTTTTCCAACATGCTTTATTTCTAGAAACTGTAACAATTCAGTAATTACCAGACATCTTGGGACGTCCACGTTAAATTGCCCACATGATTCCTTGGTTTTCAAGACACACTGGTGTTACCGTCTTACTGGTATGGTGTCTTGAAGGGATAGGCCACCTAGTGGTGAATGGCATCAGGAGCGGCCTGGTGCCTACACCAAGAGACAAGGTATACATAAGCCCCTAAGCTCCCTGAATCACCTACCTTGATACGTCCCGCAAGCCATCTTAAGAATGCTGTTTTGAAGTGCCATGTGCCTCTTATCTATGTGAGACTTCCCCATCCTAATGAATGGCACAGAGCAGGTGCAGATCAGGCCTCAGATCTGAGCCCCGGGTCTTGCCTATCCTCCCACTGGTCAACCTATTGCTCAGACTCCAAGGGACAGGAATCCCTTCCGTTTCCTAGATGTGCTTCTCTTTTGACAGCACAAGCACATTTACCGACTCGTTTAATCTCCCCAACGCTCACTATAAGACCCACCAGGCATGGAGAGTGGAAGCGCCTTTCCCTAAGGCCACATCCTTTTCCTGCTTTTAAGAATATTTGCAATCTGTATCATTCTGCCCAATTCCTTAGCATGGAAACAAGAGAGGTGTTCTTTTTATGTATTTGTTATCATTTGCAAGTCTGCCTCTAGTATCTGGCAGTTGCCCTGAGCTGCCGACTGGCAGTAGTGAAAACAAGGGTCTGCCTGCCTGTCAAGGAAGAGGAAAAAGGAGAGACTGAGGGAGGAGCACAGAGGAGAAGGGCATTTGGTGGGCATGGTGCAGGAGCTCAGTGGTGCCTGTCAGCGACGTGGACTGAACGGGTGGAGTGGCGTGACATGGTGGAGCATGAGCCACACTGGCCTGTATTCTTCCCCCGCTCTGCTGCCAGCAGTCATCACAGGACGCTGCCTGAGCTGCTTCCAAACAGCATGAATGGTTGGCAAAGTATCATCTAACCTTCTTCCTGCCCCAGCCCTTCTTCCTTGAGGAGGAGTGATAGAGCCATGTAAGTGGCCAATACATGGTGGAGACTTTAAATATTGTTTTACTCTCAGGCATCAAACTTTGTTGAATACACGTGAGGAAAGCAGAATTGGACAGGAACTCAGGACACAATCTAGAGTCAGAAAGACCTGCCTTTAAATCCCGCTTCTGTTTGTTTTAATGATCTTGGTCCATTGACTTAACTTCTTTGAGCCTCATGCTCTCCATCCATAAAATGGGAATAAGAATAATTTCATGACAGGGTTGTGAAATGACCGGAAACCACATTTTGAAAGCATTTGGTCTACTGTTAGCTGTATAGTGGTTTTTCAATAAATTAGAACCCTTATTATGTTTATCCTAGGGCTGTTGTGAGCTTGCTGATAGCTTTCCTCCATCCCTCTTCTTCCATAATGCTAGTCCTCCATTACCCTGCTTCCAGAAGGGTGACATTCTCTGATTCTGTTCCCCAGCACCAAACACTCCCACAGAGACTGACCAAGCAGCCTTTTTTGAGGCCAGTGACATTCCTAGAGCAGCGACATCATAAACGTGGGACTTCATCGCATGCAACACTCGGCACATGTGGCGATCTGTGACAGGGTGGAAGGTTCGTGCTCTCTGGGTGGGATCACATATGGCAATGACATCACATGTCAGTACTTCCTGCCACCTCCTGCAGAACAGTGCCAGGTAGAATGCCTTCTCTTCACTAACTCAACACCACCTGCCCCAGTGAAGGCTGCACAGTGTGGCGACGTGGTATGAAGGCTCTGGCATCAAGCTATGTGGGTAAATCCTGTTCTTACCACCCTGCATGACTGTGAGCAAGTTGCTTAACCTTTCTGTGCCCCTGTTTCTTTACCTGTAAATTATGGCTAATAATATTTAATATCTAGCTTATAGAGTTGTTGTGGGGTTTAAATGAGATGATGTGCTTTGCAGAGTACAAGGGATGGACAAGTGCCCAATCAGTATTAGCTAACAATATGAGATGGGGAGTCACCTTTACCTCCTGAACAGCAGAGAACCCACCTCTGGTCTCCACTAGAGGCTTTTCCTCAAGCTCTCTGAAGGCCGTGCCCTGTGGATGAGCTGCAGCCAGGTCCTACTGGAGCGGTGGTCACTGGAGCCACTTCTGGAACTCACCAGAAGACCAGCCCTTTCCAGGCTTCTCAAGATCCACATTGCACTGCAGTGGCCCTGCCGGATAACCCCAGAAGCCCCTGGCCTGGCCAAGGGAGGATAAGCCGCAAGCAGTGGATGGGGTTCATTGCGAGCAGTGGATGGGGTTCATGGAGCCCTCAGGGTACGAGAGGCTGAAGATTCATATTCTCACTGGAAGAGCAGCGTATTGCCTTGGCCCACACTGACTAGCATACCTTTCAGGGCCACAGAGACCTCGGGCCCTCCCTCCTCCACATTCCGCCTCAGCCCTGGGAACTTGTAGAAAATCAAGGAAGAATATCATAAATGAGTCTTCTGGGAATCTTCTGTACTTCAGGTTTAACTTCTGACATTTCTGGGCCTTCTGGGCTCAGGGATGGAAGGTCTGGGGAGGTTAGAAGGGAAGGCACTGCTTATCATTAGTGAATAAACATATTGAAAAAGAACCCTCTGATTGCTTGTATCCATGGGAATCCCTTTAACTGAGGTTTACCAGAGCCCAGGGGCATGGCGAAGCTGTTGGAAATTTAAAAACAAAGGCATCAACCTCAGTATTTATAATGAAGAGATCTAAGAAATTATCTAGTACAGCCCCTCTGTTTTGCTGATGTTGAGATAGAAATATTCAGGTATTCGTTCCATCATTCATTTACTCACCAAACATTTGTTGAGCTTTACTATGTCAGTGTTTTTCAAACTGCAGGACACAATCTGTGAATATGACAGGGAATCACTTTAGTGAGCCACAACCAATATTCTTCTCAGAATAGAACACAAGAGAATAGAATATATCAAAGTGTCTCACACACGGAAGTGTAGTTTCATGTAATTTTTGTTTTAGATTTATATACACGGTGGGGAGATATACATGAAGACTGTATCTCATAGTCTGGTTAGCTCTGTTCTTGGTCAAACACAGTTGAAAAACATTGTACACTGCATCAACCCTGCTGTACAGAAGAATAACCTGGGGCCAGGTGCAGTGGCTCACACCTGCAGCCTGTAGTCCCAGCACTTTGGGAGGCTGAGGCAGGAAGATCACTAGAGCCCAGGAGTTCAAGACCAGCCTAAGCAACATAGGGACACCTCACCTCCACAAAGAATTTTTAAAAATTAGCTGGATATGGTGGCACGCATTTGTGGTCCCAGCTACTCAGGAGGCTGAGACAGGAGGATCAGTTAAGCTTGGGAGGTTGGGGCTGCAGTGAGCCATGAGCAAACCACTGCACTCCAGACTGGGCAACAGAGTGAGACCCAGTGTCAAGAAAAAAAAAAAGGAAAACATTCCTCTCTGTTATTAGTGGAAACAGAGAGAGAGAGAGACAACACAGGAAGGAAGGAAGGAGGGAAGGAAGGAAGGGAGGGAGGGAGGGAGGGAGGGAGAGAGGGAGGAAGGAAAGGAGGGAGGGAGGGAAGGAAGGAAGGAGAAAGAAAAAGGAAGGAAGAAAGGAAGGAAGGGAGAGAGAGAGAATGAGGGATGGAGGGAAGGAAGATGGAAAGAGAGAGAGAGAAGGGAGAAGGAGAGGAAGAGGGAAAGGAGAAGAGAAGAGGAGAGGGAAAAAAGGCAAAAGGAAAGGGAGGGCAGGGGCATTGCCCCCGTCGGGAGTCCTCCATATTCCCTGACCCTTGCTCACTGCCTTGGGCAGGTGCTGCCTGTTTCCCCCTGGACCAGGCTGGGGCCTCCCGGCTCTCCGGTTCCCCCTCTGACTCACTGGAACATTGCCCCTGGGAGCCTGGCTTCCGCCGCAGCTGGGGAGCTCCTGGCTCTGCTGTCCTCCCAGGTCACACCACCTACATGCGTTGGCCAGGGTACAAGGGGCCTTTTCTTTCCAAGGCCCCCATCAAAAACAGACGCCTCTCCTCGCAGCTGTCTAGCTCGGCTGCCTGAACACAGAGGTGATTCACAGGAGATGTGGAGGGGCGTTTGAGGTTTCCTTAAAAACACACCTCCCTTTTCCTTTTTCAACTGTTGCACGGAGCAGAACCAGAGAAGACCTCTCTTCGTAGCACTCTGGCCACGGGTATGAAGCCAAGTTTCTTGAAAGAAATTTCTTTTAGGGCTGCTGGAGCGCGGCATCCCCTCTGTAGGTGTGGATTCTCCTGGCAGGGTGAGCTGTGGCCTGGTTTTGCCTGTATTGAATGGTGAGCATGTCTATTCTTTGAAAAGACCATGAAAATCTCTGGTGAATCTAATGGGAAGTAGGGGCCGGGTGAGTTAAAAAGAAACAAAATTATAAGTAAGGTATAAAAACATAAAGGCATACTTTGAGCAATTTTATGTCATCATGTTTGAAAACATCAGTGAAGCAAATGACATTCTTGTACATATGTAGAATGGAAATCTTACATTTGGAATAAAAAGTATCAACAATCTGCTAATAGCTGGGCCTCATCAGATGAAAGTGTCTGGGCCAGCCCCAGTCCTTGGCTTTGCAGAGACACAAACTCTATTTTGATACCCCCCATCCCCCCACCACCTCCACCCCAGGTGCCCAGGCTAGTTAGGGAGGGGCAGAGGTGTGAGGGCTGTAGGCACGGCTACTCTGGAAAGCAGGCTTCTGCTCTTCAGCCAGGTTTTCTTGCTTAGAAGGGGAGGGAGGATAAGAGATGGCAGAGACGCTCTGCACAGAGATGAGCAGTCCTTCTTTACCAGGAGAAATGGGACTGCTAAGGATCCCGGGACGTTCCCGCAGCCTCACCAGCCTGGCTCTGTGCATAGGACAGTGTAGAAAAGCTGAACTATAGCACCAGGAGCGCTGAATCAGAGCTGGGGCTGGTATCAAGAGCCCGGTGCCTCTTTTGCACCCCAAGAACATGGCTGTGTAACTATACCTGGGTTCAGCCGCTTGCTGCTGCAAAGCCAGAGGCGAGGGTTGATGGGAGGAAAGGCAGAGCCAGCAAACCCAGACGATGGCAAGCTAGCATTGTAAAGTACCCTCTCACATTTTATAATGTACCGTAGAGTTTTTAAAGGGAAACCTGGCATGGGGGACATGCGGGAGTGGTACGGGGTACTGGGCTTGTGTGTCTTGTTCTGATGGCTACCTTGGCTAATTGCTCATCAGGAGTCTGGTTGGTATTATCTTGATTTTGACCCAATTGTTCATGACTCCCCCTAAGTGGGA